ATCTTTAAAAGCATTTTCAGTTAGCCCTTTCATGTCCATTTAACCAGTGGCAGGTAGGGCAGCTTCAAGTATCCTTCAGTATTCTGGTCAAAACAGTGAAGTTTTTTTCATGACAGTTTATGTTGTAATAGTTGGCCCCAGGTGCATAGATTGCAGCTCCTTTTCACATTGATTTTGATTTTGATTTTGATTTTGATTTTGATTTGATTTGATTTGATTTGATTTGATTTGGTTTGATTTGATTTGATTGATTTGATTTGATTTGATTTGATTTGATTTGATTTGATTTGATTCAAATTCTACTACATTTCTAAAAAGCTAGTTAGTTACATAAACTATAAACAAATCAACTAAAGAACGCAGCAACAACAATAACATTTAAAAGACAAAATGAAGCAGAATTCCGACGTTGCTAAAACGAGGAACAAGCGGAACAACCTAGTAACAGGCGGAACAACCCAGTAACAACCCAGTAACAAGCGGAACAACCCAGGAACAAGCAGAACAACCCAGTAACAAGCGGAAATGTGAATTAATTGTTTAGTAAATACCACATGGGGGCGTTTATAATCCAACTCTCTGAAGTTCGTGTGGGCTAGAACTATCAAGAGGCCGTCAATCATGTCTTCATCAGTTTCGGAGGCTTTGTGATTTTGCCAACGGACAGAGAGAATCTATCGACCCCGGATCGGGACGAAAAATAAATAGTAAAGCATGCCTAAAGGGGTATGGGGAATGCTCCCCCAGAAATTTTTTGAAAATGGTGGCTGCTCTGGTGGCTATTTTGGTTGCTAAAATAGCTATGCTGGGTAAACTGCTCTGGCGGCAGTGGCTAAGATAGAGGGAATCAGAGGGGGGCAACAAAACCCTGTAGAGCTAGACCGAGGGGCAATTCACTCTTGAAAATTGCGTACAAGATTTTACCAAAACAAAAGGATTTCTAGGGATTTTCAGGTAAAGCAATAGGATTTTTATAAAAGGTGTACAAGATTTTCTTGGAGTGATTTGCCCGTCGAGCTAGACTCCTATTTTGTCGGAAAACCTCTGGTCTTCTGGAAATTTTCTATGTTTATCTACTTGCCATGTTTTATAGGAAAGAATTTAAAGTTAAATGAAAATAAGAATATCTGAATATGTCAAAATATTTATTTATTTCAGTTCTGATGTCGTTATATTTTGTGTACTTAGATATGATTGTATTTAGAGTGTATTATGGCTCTTCAACTAATTTTATTTAGATAAATGAATTTTTTTATGATGATGATGGAAACGCCAAACATCGGTTGCGTGTTTGTCACCCTACCATCAAAATTTCACGATATTGCGCCATTAAATCGCCTGGGGAGGTTTCACGATATTGCGCCCGCTTGTTCCTCGTTTTAGCAACGTCGAGCAGAATTCTTAAGGAGGAGCCTTCAAAGTAGGTTAACTAACAAGATGAAGGCCCCCCTTTTGTTTCAGCGATCTATATGTTCATCTATAATTATGTCTCGTTGAATTAAATTAAATTACTTTATGGACTAAACAAGAAATTTTGCAAAGCTCACTGACTTTCAAATAGATTCCACATTAGATTGTAATTGCCTTGTATCTAGTCTTTATGGCTTGTATGGCCTCCTCTCTCCTAGACTCCAAAATGGCAAGGTAATTGCTGCCTGACTTGACTATATATATTTGCCTGAGATGTTTTGTTGTGCGGATCTCAAATGACCGATTGTGCGGATCTCAAAATTTTGGTACTAGATTATTAGAAGCCCATCACACAAATGCCAATGGAACTCCAACCTAGTTAATGATATTCATTCAGTTTTGTTTTATTTATTTGAATTTTCTCACTGAACCTTAAATATTAATTTCTGAAAGTAAATATGAATATGGTCACATGACTTAATTCCTAAAATTAAGTAAAATATACTTGTCAAGGCCAGCAGTAAAATGTTTTTGCCTCCTTCATTTTCTTCATAAGAAATCAATGGAAAGATTTGGCATCAAGGGGCATCACAGAGCACAAAATGAAGGCTCTATCTCATGATATGATTATAACTTGATTATTCAAAGTATTTAAAGTGTCATGTTTTTTAATTATTTTGTGAGAAATGTAAAAGCTCTAAAATCCAAGAAAAATAATGTAATCAGTGATTACCTTGATTACAGCCCCCCCCCCCCAATGATGCCACTGCTGATAATGATATGCTAATATTCTGACTCAAATATCAGATCATTTTCCTCAATTTATTATTGTTAAACAAGGGGGTATACCTTATAAGAATTTATCGTTTTACCCACATGATTTCTCTAAGCTCAACAAAAGATTTCCCTTAGGGCATTTCAAGCTTTGTTACCACACATAACCAATGTTATTTTCTCTAAAGGGAATCTTCTGGCATCCGGCAATCTTTCCTACCTGCTAGCCAATGGTTCATTAAATTTTCCTAGCCCAGGCTAATCAGATTGATAAAAATAGCTGTTTATTTTATATTTGATGAATATTTCTGTCAACACATTAAAAAAGCTGCAGTCCTTATGGTGCTTATGTTTTTAAATTTGTCCTTTTTTGCAATTTAAATGCCATGAGGACATTCAAATTCATGGAAAGCATTGTCCTCTCTTGAAGGCAAGCTACAAGCTATGGGCTGCCTCATAAGATGCACTTAAAGGTGTCTATTCTGATAAAAAGCATTCTAAACATTCTAAAACTTTGATTTTAAAGATACTATACTGATAAGAAGAATTTGTTTCTTTTTACGAGTAACGTATCTTGTATTTCCTAATAAGAGATATTCTCTTTAAATAATGAGAGCCTATTAGCATTTAACAAGACCGTTAACATCGACATTGTTAACAAGACCAAAGAACATTTGGATGAGATGTCAAGTTAATTAGAGCATAGAACTTTTTGTCCTGAGATGCACCAACTATAGACAGGGAACTATTGTTGCAAAACAATGATTGGCACGTTATTTATTATTTTATCTTCTATGGTCTACAGAATTTTTTTCGGAAACAAATCATTATAAAAAACTATATTTAGGAACTACTACTATTTTTCTTGTATTGAGTGATTAACTGAAATTTACAGCTTCTATGGCGTCATAAAATGGTAAATTAACAGAAAGTCAAGCCCTATTTCTTTGTCATAAAATTTTGACACATTTTTAAAATGTATTGTAAATAGAATCTTCATACCAATGTAGTAATGAACCCTTTCGGATGGACAAGAAACATGCACAATTGCTTTAATTATCTATTTGCTATAACACTATTTACTGTCTTAAATAGCTTTAATTATCAAAGTTCTAACATTACGCAGCATTGTTATCACTTTTTAAAAGCTAGAAAGAGAAATGGTGTTGTATGTGAATTTCAGTCGTAATGCTGTAGATAACTGGAGGTCCTTGCTTAATGACATCACGGTTCTCAATCTCATCTCTAGTCAAAAAACCAAAACTTTTCATTCACTTTCCGCATCTGGTTGTCCAACTCCTTACTTCACTATCTCTATGATATTGTAGCTTATTTTATACATGAATGCCACATTTTTTCGTTTCTTTTCTTTTCCTTTTTGTTCCAGGCTCCTCCAGCTAGTCCATTTCAAGTGGGCTAGATCCATATCTTACAACTGGGCTTTGACTCACCATAACTCTACTTGGTGGTTGTCCTCTGAATCCAAACTGGTCGCATTAGTATCTATCACTATCACTTCATTTATCAACAACAGTCCATATTTTATTTGGACATGCTTTTCCATTGAATTCAACAAATAAAAAATTACTCTTATGATGGGCTTGAAGAATGGTTTCGATAGCAAAGTCAGAAGTATTTCCCTCTTTTCTTTCAATACATGCCAACTTGATGGAGTTCCTTTAACACTGTTATCTCTCTATTGGACAATTTTTGCGCGGGTTTCTTCTGAATGATAGCCTTATAAATATATGAATGATACCTTTTAAAAACGACAAAGGCTAGCGTAGAAGTTCTAGCTAGGTCCTTTTCATTTTCCTTGCCTCTTCTACTGAAGATCTTTGGTTTAGTGCCGCTTTTCTTCTGCAAGTTAATCCTTTCCCTTTCATAAAACATCTGATTGGGCTTACTGTACACTTTTTTATAAGAATGTGTAATTTTTTGCTGAGCCTCAATATTCTTAATTTTTTTCATTTTGAGCCTAAGATTTTTCTTAAAATATTCTTAAACGACACAAGATGAAACTGAGTCGCATTATACTGTTAAAGACTCCAAGGCCGGAAAAGTTCATTTCAAAACATGTAACGTGAAACTTCCATTTGTTTTGCTTTTGAAAAATAACTCAAATCAGCAAAAAAATTAAATTTTTGATGGAGCTAGAGCCTTGCATTATTCATAAATTATTCTTAAATTTCAGCGATTTTGAGCCTTAATATTCTTATATAAAAGTGCATCGTCGCACATAGCTTAATCTTCTAATAAATGGTTTTTGAAATCTCCAAATCTGAAACTTTAAGTTATGATGATAATCTTCCATCATTAGTATCCATAAATTCAGAACCTTGGCAAGCAAGGCAATTTCGCTTGAGTATTATTCCAATTTTCTAACCATCGAAATCAACAGATTTTCGTTTTTCTTCATTGGCAACAAGAAAGGAAAAGCCCGTTGCTTTGCATTTTCCTTTGTCGATTTGAAAATTCGTTTGTCATCATGTTCATTTTTTTCAGAAGCATCATCAGTGACTACCAATAATTGTGCAATAATGGCCAGTCTGACATCTTCACACCTCCAACAAGCTCAAAAATACATTGCCGCCGGCGGAGCAGGAAAAAATCCTATTTCTTTGGTGATGGAATTGGGTCAACTGTTGAATATATCGCCAGTTTTCAATAGCTATGAGCCACCAGACCTCTCTTCCATTCACAAACATGTATTTGTTTGTGAGGTGAGGTTTGCAAATTTAAAAGTAAAATGCCAAGGATTAAATAAAAAGCAAGTGAAAACAGATGTCGCTCGGAAGCTGATAGAACGGATTACAATGGAGGCTGATAGGGAAACTGCTCCTGTTGAGCGACAGACATCAGTAAGGACAGGTGCAGGTGCACAGGTTTGTAAAGATAGTATACAGTCTAACTGCCCATATGAAGATAAAATAACTCAGTTAAAATTTATCCAAGATTATAAAATTCTTTAAAATGCTCACGATTAGTCTCGCCAAAACGTAGATTAGTTCGCTAGCCCGCTAAGAACACCCAGAGCCATCACGAGTAATGAAGAGAAATGATGGAAATTCAATGCTGTTTTATTTCTTATTTTCCTTTCTTCCTTGCCTTTCTCAATAATTGAACACGTGATTGAATGAATAATGATACTTTGTGCAATTTTAGGCTATATTTTTGCTTGATTTTCAGAGGGATGTGTTTGTGCTATTTATGCTTTTCGTCTCTCTAGTTCAGCTTTACCAAACTTATGTAAATGCTCGTATTCTCTTCACATATGTAAATGTTGAATTTTTCCAGAGACGTGGAATTTTATGGGAGAGAGAGGTGAATTCACATCCAGTCGAGACTTCACTGCCTGAAACTGCAAAACCTATTGCCAACTGGGTTGGGAGATTACAGGAATACCTTGTTAAATATGAAAGAGGACTACCAGACTATAAATTTGAAGAGAGCAATGATAAAATTCGAAACTTGTACAGTGCTACTGTGAAGGTAGGTTTTTATTTGCTCAACAGTCAGCTGTAACCTGACTGAGGACATCAAGGATATTCTTTATGCTCGGTCAAACTTTTGCGGGGGGATTTTTAGCCTCAAGTTAGGAGTATGGAGCATAGGCTAGGGGATCTTTAGCATAGCATTTCTAAATGAAAGTGAAACATTTTCGCAGCAGTCTCTGAAGTGAAGCTCGTGCTAAGGATTGAACTTGTTAATGCACCTTAAGCAGCTGATATTGTCATGGGGGTTTCGCTTTTTATAAAACAGCTGATTGCTCGTAATGTTTAAAAACAAGTACCGCACACAGCAGGCTTGTGTTGGATGGTGTTAGTAATCCTTTGTACAAGATTCCAAAGAGAGATGATGAGCTGTTTTTTAAAGAGAAAGACAAGGATCTAGTATTTTAGAAGAGAAGACAAGAGGTAACATAGAGCGGCAGATAATGACTCCGAATCCTCTCGGCGACCCCGGGGCAAAACCGAAAGACGGGACCCCTTGCGACCGCGGCCTTCAGATTAGCTTAAAATGCATTTCAGAATATTTCTTGCAGTCATTTCTTGCAATCGTTTAGAGCGTTTTTTTAATTTTAGGCATTCTTTTGCTACATTTGATGAATTTTATTCTTAAAATAAAATTCATTACTTTTTAGGCCCTGGGGCAATTTGCCCCCCTTCCCCGCCCCCTCTCAGTGGCCCTGATAATGACAGCTACCAAATTGATCAAGAGCTGATAAGCTAATGATGACTAAGCCAGGCTTAGCATTAAGGGAGATTGCAAGAACTGAATTTAATTTGGAGAAAAATTGTATCGGGGAGTGATAAGTTGGGACGGATTGAATTTTTTTGGCAATATCCATAGTTTTAAACCCACTTTCTGTTTTGAAGTTTTCATTTTACATATCGCATACCGTTATCGTTCGAATAAGCGCCCGAGCGCTTATTTAATTTTTCTGCTTTTAAGGGGGCGCTTATTCGAGATGGGCGCTAATTCAAAAGGGGCGCTTATAAAATATTTCTAATTAGATACTTAATATTGATGAATTTAAGAAGTTAAGAGTTTAAGAAGTAGTGCACGATGAATTTAAGAAGTTTCCTGAAAGGAAAATAAAAAAAGAATAACAATTGTCAAAGAAAAAGTGTTATTCTTTCTTTTCCAAGGTCTTCCCTTCCCTCCATGCGAGATATAGAATTTTTTCATCGATTCTCTCTGTGAATTTCGAAAATTCGAATAGGTGCCCACCCTATAACAAGGGGGCGCTTATTCGACAGGGGCGCTTATAAAATTATTTTCTTAAACGAGAGGCGCTTATTTGAGAGGGGCACTTATTCGAACGATTACGGTATGTGTTTAGCGTCACTGTTGTGATTCACGTTTTCCGACAGATCCCGGGCGTACGTGGGGCTTACCAAGCCACTGCCTACAACAAAGCAGATGCAAAACAACTTGCAGCCAAGAAGATGTTTAACGCCATTAGCAAATCAGGTTCAGAAGGCACCCAGGCTGCGCAAGCATCCCAAGACCGCCTCAGTGTGCGGACATTGCGCAGCTACCTGAAAAACCATACGGAGGAGAAGCCGGCTAATGCTGACAGTGGACAAGATGACTCCTTTGAGACATTCGTTGATGCGTTCAGCAAAATTGACTTCGAAGAGGGGAATCCAGAAAAGACGATTCAAACCTCAATTGAAGTTCTCAAAAGACTTTCAACACTTGAGAAATTCGATATCGAGTATCATGATGTTCCAACCACCAGAAATTCATATTTGTGTCTATTGGAAGCAAAAATTGGCCAAAGTCTTGTTTGTCACGGAATTGGGGAAAACCGGCCCCAGGCGATGGAGAAGGCCGCGGAAAGTATGCTGGAATTAGTGCGCTTCTTCAAACACTTTAAGAAAGAGAGATGAATGGAGTTGAGATGTTGGTGAAAGATTGTGTGTTTGTCTTGCGGTGTAGAGGCTGAAAAAGAATATGACAGGACAGACTTTTTATTTTGAAAATTGTAAGCAGATTGTTGGTAAGAATCGATTGCTCTTCCATATTGAACGGCAGTTAAAAACTTATTGAGGCTGGCTTCAATATTTCATTTCTTTTTTTCATTTCTAAATATTTATACAGGTTTACAGATGTCAGTAATAAAAAAGTAACTGTTTTACAAATCGACCTGTGCAAAAACAGAAAAGCCTAAATTAAAGAGAATAACAATGTACAATAAGTTAAATTTAAAAGAGCATAACATAACTAAATATAAAAATAAAATGTACCTCTCATATGGATTTTTTGAAGGTAACAAGGGACGGTGCCAATTTAGTTTCCTTATTCAGCTCATTCCATAATTTTGCTCCTCGATAAGAAAATGCTTTTTGGCCTTGGCATGTTCTTAAAAGAGGTATCTGCAAGTTTGTTTCAGTAGAGCGAAGATTGCGAGCACTGCTCTCTGAGCATTTACTGAAAAATTCCCTAAATATTGAGGAGCAAGCGCGTTCAATGCCTTATAGGTCAGCGTTGCTGTTTTTTTTATGAGATCTCTGATTGAGGGCCAGCCAAGATTTTGGAGCAGAGGGGCAGCAGGAGCATCACAAGGACTATTTGTATTTTTTCCTAACAGCTCTTTTCTGAATTTTTTGGATTTGGATTTGGTTTCACTACAACAACCCCAAACCGAGAAACATAAGAACCAAGATAAAAATCTTCCTTTCTTTCCAAGAAAAGTTCAGCATTTTTTGTTTCAATCTTTCAAACCTTCATGGAGCTTCACTTTAAATAATACCTTTGACGTTTGCATCGTGCATTAAAAGATTGGCTTCGTAGACGTGATGGCGTTGCAAAAAAGACGTCGATGGGTTATTGTTAATATTTTTCTCCCAAAATTATTTCAAATTTGCAGAAAAACACGAAAAGGAACTTCAATTTCTAACCGTTTCTCCGCATGCAAGATTAAAGAACGTTTGGGCTCTTTTGGCCTGACGCTGATGATGTGTGTAGAGTTGAGCATTGTATCCCTAGACACGTTTGTAAGCCTATGATGTATCAGTGCTTTGATGTGGGAGATGTAGTGATGTCTCCATACCTCGAAGTCCTGTGTCGTTGCATTGTTTTGGCAAGTGGCATGGTGTCGACTTGATGTACCAATCAAATTCGCATTGGTGGTACCGATCATGAATAGCTTTTTGACAGTCAGGGTCCAAATTGCTTGTTGAATTAGCAAGGCTAGCTATTTGTTTTTGGCTGGATACGAAAACTGTTTATGAAACTTATGTACCAAGCTTACCGCTACCGTGGGCTGGTTGTCCTGATTGATGAAAAAATCAAATGCGAATGTTTCGACTGGGAGAGTTTAACAGAACTGTAGTGGCCAGATGATGTTGTATGTTGTATTCAATTTTACAAAAACACAACCACCAAGTTGACATCGTTTGGAGCATGGTATGCTTTGGCACCCTTTAAAATTACGAAAAAACTACAGCGAAATTCTAACCACTATACAAAAGTTTCAGTTTCTCGTGCCCCTTATAGTATCTTATTAATGTGCTGTTATTAGAGACTTTTCAATCATACATTAATAATCCAAAGTTATATACACTGTCACTTGTATGGGAAATTTAAACAATTGCACACTTTGGTATGGTCTTTATTAACATAGATTCATTTACTATGCATTTAATGTTTTAAAAGTAGATTAAAATCTTATTAAAGAAAGATGATACAGAAATTTGAATAACTTAAGTTTATATTAAATTTCAGCGTTGATTCCAAAATTTATTCAATTTTGGTTATTGGGAAATTTTTTATCACCATACAAATTTATTCAATGCATCTTTATATTCCTGTATGAATATAGAGAAGCAAAGAACTACCCTTGCCCATGGTTTGCTGTTTTGGGAATCATCACATGGAGGAAGACGTGTGGCGGACCTGCGAAGGCCTAGATTGATCAATTGGGGGAACCATATCCAAAGGAAAGAGCCGAAAGGATGATGGATGATCGAGAAGGGTGGAGAAGATTCATCATCCTTAGCAAGGTTAACCCCGACAAGCTTTTTATATTTTTGATGATTTGAGGGGGATGCTTTGTCGAGGGGGTGTATTTGAGAGAGTGGGGGCTTTTTACAGCAACTACGGCAGGGCCGGGCAACCTGCAGCCAGCCCTCGGGCCACGGCCAGCCCTTCAGGAGATTTCCAGTAGCCCTAGTTCTTTCAGTAGTTAATATGCAAAATATCTCTTACAAAAAGATAACTGGCTAACTATATTTTCAGTGTACATGACGTATTTCGTAACTCTAGCATTGAAACATCGAAGTTCATTCCCAAGGAAGAATCAAGACCCCCAGAAAAACTTATTGTAAAAGCAGCTATTCTCGCAGCTGAAGTTCTTCAAGAATAGAGTTCAAACATACACAGTGCCAGACGGTTTTTAGCAGCTTTAAACATGATTTTTGCAAGCATACTGGCAAAATTCAATAACAGTCTTAAAACTAACACTCAAACTTTTTGAATAGAATTGTTTAGGATTCCATTTCTTATAAACCGCTACCCAAGAAGGTTTTGCTTTTTAAACTAAATTTAGTAGAAATGCAAGCCAGAATAAGTCAAGTTGTCATTACAGCACACATGGGGAAACTTAATTTAGATCTTTTAAAAATCAAACAAGAATATTACTGGGATTGACATGATTTTCCTAGAAACAAGATTTTCTCCTTTATTTCCTAAAAACTGGTTTGTTGTTGGCAATTTGTTGGTCTGTTGTTAGCAAAAATAACATAAGACCACTTTTATATACTTACTTGGAACACCTATCAGGTTGGTATTTTATATCATTTTTTCAATCTACCTTAAGACTATTATTCTGCTACCCATTCCCCTAAAACCATATTGACAGTTTAGGCAAATATAAAAAACGCTACATGACAAACCAACATCGTGCTAAGGAGGAGAGGAAGTCATTTATCCTTGACAACTAATGGCAGTGTTGCAAGACTTTTGACAGTAATTGCAATTGATCGGTAGTTATTCACGAAAATAGTATGAAAGCAGAAATAACGATTACATAATAACGTTATTTTGCATCTGATGATGACGTATAAAATTTCAAAAAGGAATTTTTTTTATAAACTGTGTTATCTGCTTTAAGTCATTTGCATACTCACAATTACCTGACAAAAAACTTTTCGGACATCGAAATTAACCGAAAAAAAGTTCTAAAATGTTTCCACTTATTGTGTTCCAACCCCGTCAAAGCTGCATTCATATATTAAAAATTGACGCCGTTACCAATGCAGCTGAAGATGGTTCTTATTCTTGTGCTGTTAAAGAAATGTGAAATTCTTAGTTTCATCTTAAGGAAATAATATAAATTTAATAGCAGCAAGTCAACATATCCAGGCTTGCTGATATAGGGCCAACCAAATTGGCACAAAATGTTTGATTTTAGCTCAAATTTCTCCTGTATCAACCCTTCTTATTTTTACTATTCCTTTCTTCTTTTTAACTATGGAAGATTCTTCACAACCAATTCCACATTCTATGTCCAGTTGAAAAATGATCAGGGCTTTAAATCACGCTGATAAACACAGAACTGATAGCTGATGCCATTCTCCTCTTGTAACTCTTCAGGAACATCAGGAATGCTGAAAAATAATGAAGAGCTTACAAAAATATGACATTAAATGCTTAAATTTAACCAGAAAAGTTTTGGAGGCGTAAACAACAAATTAATATAGTCAACATTATTATCATTTGCCTGGTCTGTGATATATTAAAAGAAAAAGAAAATGCCCTCAGTCATAATGACTGATTTTCGGGGGCCGTATCAAAAAAATTACAAAATAAAAATCTAATTGAACTTTTAAGAAGGCGCGAGATCATTAATAAATTTATATATAATGTCTTTTAACTTGCCAAGGTGACACACTTGACAAAAAATAGCCACCGTTGCGCAGACTTTCTCCTATTTGATTGCGGTGTGATCTGAATGCTATGGTTTGCTTTGCCAAGAAAATTATGATGTCAATCAATCAATGAGCAACTTTTCTTTTCTCCAAGGAATCTTGTTGTCTCTTTGATATACCCTCTATCTTTTCTGAGCCCTTATGGATTTGGCTATTATCGTGTGAGGACTCTTGACATAACACGTTTTTGACCGTAACAACACAACAAATATCGGCGAAAAGACTTTTGGTATCTTCCTTTCCAAAACGCATGGAAAAGTGGCAGAAAACCTTCCAATGAATAAGGGAGCAATTTCCTTTGGACCATTTCCCGGCTTTTTGTGCGATTGTGAAAAGGGTTTTTTTGATCCCCGCCATTTTAGGAGGGGGTCATATTTGAAGGTCTCGGTGCATACAGCAGATCAGTTAGTTGGAAACTAATTCTGAGTAGTCTTCTTTTAAAAAAACCAAATTACTTTCAATACTTCTAATAAAAGATCCAGTACTGCTTAATACAATCTCACTCTGATAAACTATCCACACGAGTTTCACTTGTTGTAAAATATGTAAAGCCTGATTCCTGTCCAATATTCTTTCATCTTTTTCGATTTGATGGCACTCCCAAAATCTTATTCATTCCTTTGTAGCTGTACTGTATTTACGAATGATCGCATTTGTGTAGAAGAATATCGCTACCTGAAGAACAAATACCTCGCTTTGGAGCGCTATTAACCTCTCTCGCAGTCTGTTGGAATGTACCCCCGGATCTGCAGTCACGTGTTATGCAGCTTATAAAAACAGCGTGTTGCAGATAATTCGAGGCTGACACTGTGATTGAAGGGAGATTAGGTTGTAGTTTTTATGGCTAAATAAATTGCTGTTTGTTTTGTTATGTTTTTATAAATAATTCAAAAAATGCAAACAATTGCCTTTTTGCATCTCTGCCTACTTTACAAAACATTGGCGCCCAACGTGGGGCTAGAGAGGCAAATTAGGTCGAATCAACGATAGATACAGAGATGTACAGTGGAGACGAGCAGCAATCCGAACCGAACGAAGATGAAAGCCTACAACGCCTAAAAAAGATACGAGGTGGAAATCGAGCAAAAACAACAAAGTTAATCAACGAAGCCGAAGAAATTATTCAACGTTACCCAAGAACAGAGGAAATCGACCCCGAAATTAGGAATAAACTTGAAATAAAGGTACAATCGATCAAGGAAAAGAGAGACTACCTAACGCAACTAGACAACGAAATAATTCAAAAATGCAGTTTGGACGAAATAGATCGTGAGGTAGACCAATCAACGGATATTTGTACACGAATCGACGAAAGTATTGCAAAAGTAAGGAACTACCTCAATACGCATGGAAATTCAGTGGAGAGAAGAACAACATCGCAATCTCCAGATATCGCAGTACGCCCTCCGCCAACAATTTCTACGCCACCTCGACAACCGACTCAACAAGTTAGCGAATCTCCCGTTTCGCAACGTTCAACAAGCAATGGTAGAAGCCAAGGTGTTAGGTTACCAAAAATCACCTTACCGCGATTCAACGGAGACATCACAAAATTCCAACAATTTTGGCAGAGTTTTTGTTGTGCAGTCGACGAAAGTGAAGAACTTTCGGAAGTACACAAATTGAATTATTTAGTCAACTCGCTGGAAGGTCAGGCTTATAAGGCACTGGAAGGGTTACAAATCTGTGAAGAGAACTATGAAAAGGCCAAAGTTCTTCTGAAAGAAAGATTTGGAAAGAAACAAGGTATAATCAGTGCTCACATGCAAGCATTGTTAAAGTTGCAATCATGCGAAAATGAAAAGATCACAGACCTCCGCGTAATATATGACACGATAATGGTTCACATACGTGGTTTAGAAAGTCTTGGTATGTCATCAGACAAGTATGGAAGCCTTTTGATTCCTGTTATTATATCTAGAATGCCAGAAGATATTGCCCTTCAAGTAACGCGACAAACCTCAAAGGATGTATGGAGTGTCGATGAAATCATGACCACCATCCAACAAGAGATCGAAGCAAGAGAGGTTAGCAAAAAAATGATTGGGACAGAGAAAAGAAGAAATGCTTCGAAACAACAGCTTTATGTACCACCAATAAGCACTACCAAATCCTTTGTGGCCAGGTTAGAGAGTCCCTCGAAGAATAAGAAGTCAATTCGATGTTACTTCTGTGGTAAAGGCCATTTTTCAAACGAGTGCAAGGAGGTGACAGACCTCAGACAACGCAAGGCGATTTTGCAAGCGGCGAAACGATGCTTCAAGTGTTTGCGAGTTGGACATGTATCAAAGGACTGCAGTTTCAACCGAAAATGCTTTAATTGCAACGGCAATCATAACTCAGCCCTTTGCAACAAGGATGAACAAGAGCTCAGACAAGAATCATCTGTGGCGATGTCAAATGTCAAAGAAAAGACGAATGTTATGCTCCAGACTGCTACCGCAATTGCCTATGGTGAAGATAGAAGCAAGAAGGTAACTGTTAGTATATTATTCGATAATGGTAGTCAGAAATCGTTCATTTCTGAAGAGCTTAAACGTAAATTAGAGTTGAAATCTGAGAATACGGAAGTTCTTAACCTTAATACATTTGGTTCTGAGAGATACATTAAGAAATCCAGCGATAGGGTTAAGGTTAATATAGTAGTACAAGATGAGGTTGTAACTGTTTCAGCATTAACATCTCCTGCAGTCTGTTCCCCCTTAAACACTAGAGTAGATGTAAGTCATTACCCTCATTTGAATGGTTTAGCTCTAGCTGACAGCGTGGATGTGAGCAACAAGCGTATAGATATTCTCATAGGCGCAGATCACTATTACGACATTGTAATAGGCGAGGTTATTAAGGGTAGCGCAGGACCAGTGGCGATTAGTAGCAAGCTTGGTTGGCTGCTTTCAGGCCCTGTATCCTTTTCAAATGATAAAGCATTTAAAGTATGCAGTACTAATAACGTTATCAAATCTAATTTGGTTTTAGATGTTATACCTAGCAGGGAAGAAATAGTAGATGAATCTCGTGAAATAGTAGAGTCGCTAGATCGTTTTTGGAAACATGAGTCTATGGGAATTGCTAATGATGAACAACCGGGAAAGTGTGCACCGACAGAAATTATGTTTAAGGAAAATCAGCGTTATGAAGTAGGCCTTCCTTGGAAGGATAATATTGATAACGAATTAGAAACGAATTACGATCTGAGTAAAAGGCGACTTTTGTCACTTTATAACAAATTGAAGGCCGATCCTAAGTTACTTAAACAGTACAATGAGGTATTTGAACAACAATTGTCCGATGGTATTATTGAGAAAGTAAACGAGTGTGCCTATGAAGACAGTAACGCCCATTTTTTATGTCACTTCGGGGTGGTTAGAAATGAAAGGCAGACTACTAAATTGCGCATAGTGTTCGATGGTTCCGCAAGGTCTAGCACTTCATTATCGCTTAATGATCGATTAGATTCGGGTGTCAACCACATGCCGCTTTTATTTAATACAATTATCCGTTTTATGATGCACCCTGTGGTGCTCACGGCAGATATTGAGAAAGCTTTTCTCCAAGTGCAAATTAAAGAGTCCGATCGCAACGTTTTGAGGTTCCTATGGTTCGATGACATAGAGAGTGAAAACCCCTCCATAGTTCAATACCGGTATTGTAGGTTGGTTTTTGGTTTGACATGCAGCCCTTCAATTTTAGGCGAGACCATAAAACTACACGTGTCACAATTTGAGTCTCAGTATCCTCAAACTGTTAAACATTTAAGAAATCTCTATTGTGACGATTTTCTATGTGGTGCCAGTTCTACGGAGGAAGCATTGATGATATACAAACAAGCTAAGGAAATCATGGCTTCAGGGGGTTTTAATCTGCGAAAGTGGAACAGCAATGATAATAATGTTTCACAGGAAATAAGCAAACTCGAAAATAGTAAGGTTTTATGTGGTAATGATAAAGTAGTTGAAGATGACCAAACATATTCCAAATACGTTAATGGGGCGGTAAAAACGGACGATCAACTTAAGGTTTTAGGTATAGGGTGGGATAACAGCGCAGATACACTACAGGTTGAATTGTCAGGGGTTGTAGAATTTGCAAAAACCCTCCCTATAACCAAGCGTTCTGTCCTGAAGATTGCAGCCAAAATCTTTGACCCCATGGGGTATTTAGCAGTTTTGACAATAAATTATAAGGCTTTTTTTCAGCAACTTTGCTTAAAGAAATTAGCTTGGGACGATGAACTGGACGAAGAAAACAGGAAAAAATATGTTTCCTTAATCGAGGCGATTGAGAATTTCCCTTCCATCGAAGTTCCACGTTATCCTTTTCTAACAGGGGAGAAGATCCTGCGCATGGAGTTGCATGGTTTTTCTGATGCGAGTGAATTTGCTTTCGCTACTTCAATATATTTGCGTGTAGAATACGAATCAGGCAAAATAAGTACCAGGTTATTATCGTCTAGGTCGAAGGTAGCGCCCATTAAACAGCAGAGTATTCCTCGGTTAGAGCTTCTAGGGGCAGTATTAATGGTCAAGCTAGTCGAAACTATTTACGGGGTTATGCAAGAAGAATTTAAGAGGCAAATTATTGAAAAATACTATTGGGTGGATTCAATGGCTGTTTTGTGCTGGGTAAAGAATTGTAAACCATGGGTCCAGTACGTGCGTAGTAGAGTTAATGAAATTTTACAACACTCAAATAGAGAACAATGGTTTTATTGCCCAGGTCCCCTCAACCCCGCTGATTTGCCTTCTCGTGGTAAGTATCGTGATATTGAGTCAAACTCTTTGTGGTGGGAAGGTCCTGAATTCCTTACCTCACAACCCCATGAATGGCCTAAATCTCCATGTGCGAATGACCTTGAAACAGAAATGGCAATGAAGGAAAGGGTAAAATCTGATCCACAAATAACGCACAGTATGGTAATCACAAGTAATAAGCCGACAACGAGTGTTGATAAAATTGTAGAAATGGAACGGTTTAGTCAAAAGGATAAGTTATTAAGATGTGTTGGTTGGGTGTTAAGATTTGTTTCCAATTGCAAGGCGTCCGTTAAAAAATCGAATTTGAATTTTGAACAAAATTTGACAGTCTCTGAAGTAGTAAGAGCCGAGACAATGTTGATTCAATCCATCCAAAAAGAAGCCTTTGCTAATGATCTTCATTATTTATCTCAAACGGAATCGATTAGAAAGACGATGAAAACTCCTCTTTATGTTAAACAGTTCAATTTACATCTGGATGAACATAATATAGTTCGTTGTAGGTCACGCATCGGGCATTCCATAGTTCCGGACACGGGTAAACGGCCGATACTTTTGCCGGCCAAACATAGGTACACCGAATTGATAATTTCAGATTCACACGAAAAGGTATTTCATAATGGCACTGTTGATACCTTGAGTTTGATAAGGCAACGGTATTGGATACTCCGGGGGAGAGAGCAAGTTAAGCGAAGTCTTCGTCATTGTATTGTTTGTAAGAAAATTGAGGGGTTACCGTTCAAGACAGTTTATAACCCAGATCTACCAAGGATGCGTGTAGACGAAGCACCCCCATTTTCTCACGTAGGTATAGATTTCGCGGGCCCCCTGTTTGTGATAGGTAAAGAAAAAGGTGAAGTCGTAAAAACCTATTTATGTTTATTTACGTGCGGCTCTACCCGAGCTGTTCACCTAGAAATGGTCGAGTCTTTATCGGTAGAAAATTTCATACGGGCATTTCGACGTTTTTGTGCGCGTCGAGGATTACCGGCCACAATAATAACGGACAATGCTAAAACATTTAGGTCGGTTTCTATGGAAATTAAGAAATTGTTACGCTCTCCAAGACTTTCCGAACATTTCAATCTAAAGGGCATTAAATGGAGATTTATCCCTGAACTTTCACCATTTCAGGGCGGGTTTTGGGAGAGAATGATTCGGTCTGTCAAGCGCTGTTTGATCAAAATTGTTGGGCGAGCATTGGTCTCATACGACGAGTTAACAACCTTGATTATCGAAATTGAAAATGTAATAAATTCTCGTCCTATTACATACGTTGTAGATGATAGCGACGGAATATCATACCCTCTTACACCGTCTCAGTTAGTAAATGGCAGAAACTTGAACAGCTCTCCGAATGATGCACATTTTGAGATCATAAATACGTACCAAGGTTTATCAAGACGGGCTAAATATCACAGACAATTATTATCGCAATTTTGCAATCGATGGAAAAATGAATATTTGCTTAGTTTGATGGAAAAATATAGGCCCTCAGATGATTCTATGTTTAATCCAGATATCAAGGTCAATGACATATGTATATTACGCAATTCTCAAGTCAAGAGAGCCTTTTGGAAACTTTGTAAGGTTGAACAGTTAGTTACAGGTAGAGATGGCTCAGTCAGATCAGCACAAGTTTCAGTTTTATCGCATGGCAGTAAGAAGTTGTTTTTAAGATCTTTGAAGCAGTTAGTTCCTCTAGAAATAAGAGCTACGTCCACGCCTGATAAGCATTCATCAATTGAAGCTAGTCCCACTGTGACGCAAGCGCCAAGCACTAACGCGCAAGCGCAGAATATCACAACGCATGCTCACAATCAACAGTCCGGTAGAGCTAGACGGAACGCAGCGGTTATTGGTGAATTAATACGTAAATACAGATCCTGACTTGTTCAGAAATTGTTATATGGACACTTGTAGTCGTAATGGTATAACAATTGTATTTGAATTTAAATGTATTATCAAATTAGTTTAATTCCTTCAGAATCAAACCGGGGGAGTGTGTTGGAATGTACCCCCGGATCTGCAGTCACGTGTTATGCAGCTTATAAAAACAGCGTGTTGCAGATAATTCGAGGCTGACACTGTGATTGAAGGGAGATTAGGTTGTAGTTTTTATGGCTAAATAAATTGCTGTTTGTTTTGTTATGTTTTTATAAATAATTCAAAAAATGCAAACAATTGCCTTTTTGCATCTCTGCCTACTTTACAACAACGTTTTTGGTAACAGAAAGCACATTATCCAAAGTGGTTGGAAGTGAGAGGGACTGACGAAACCCCTTAAAAATAACAAACTACTTTCTTTTTTCTTAAAACACGGTGCTGAATGGCAGTAGCGCCAATTGGGGGGTTCAGCCGGGGCAATGCTCGCGCAGAGAAGTAAGATGTTTTTTAACGATAATGCATCATTCTAGGGGCTTTGTGGCTAGACGGGACACCGGGATATTTCCCGATGGGCCCCTTTCAAGTGAGTTTAGAATTAAAGACTTTAAGGTCAACATATATAAACAAGGCCTTGTGATAGAAATATGTGAATTATGAACAATGCCACTGAAAGGGGGGCAAGGAGGAGCAAACTGCCCAAGGGACTCGAGGTCTAGGGGCCTCTTAAGGTAAGGAATTCCATTTCAAACACTGAATTTTAACGAAACGCAACAAATTTACCTAAACAATCGCAATACGTTGTAAACGATTGCAAGAAAATGACTGCAAGAAACATTCTGAAATGTATTTGAACCTAATTCAAAGGGCGCGGCCGCAAAAATTTGCAAGAGAAGAAAATTACTGCAAGAAAATGAAAAATTGGTTCATTCATTTAATGCAAAATGATGACCCTAATCTAAGTCCTCTGATACAAAGTTTTCCAGTGAATTGTGTAAAAGCTTCATACGACCTAAAAAGTTCACCGAACACAGCCCCAAATGTACAACCTTTATGATTTTTTTTTATTCGCCTTATTATTTGAAGTTGTAGTCACGTTCTTTTTGAAATATGTTACTGTTTATTCGTATTGCTTCATTTAGTTTGTTTTAGTTAGTTCCTCAGTAGCTGCTTAAATATACAAGTTGTCTTGTACTAGGCTTTTGATGGAAAAATGAAAATCTTGAAAAATCTTGAATGGAAAGCACCTGAAAGGAAAACGCCCCCCCTCCCCCCGGCTTCTCAATATAAATCGTATTCCCCATGGAAACCATTTGCCTG